GTACTTGAAAGAGAAAAGAACGAAATAAAAAGCAAAACCTAATCTAAGAAAAACACTTACTATAAATACAAAGGAGAAAATGTTCATTTTAAATAAAAGCTAGAGCAATCAATAAGCAAAATATTGGGTCCAAAAGATAAAGATATGAAGGATATAAAAAAGCAATTTAAAAATGGAAAACTCAAATAGCTAACAGCCTATAAAATAATGCACAATCTCCATAGTATTCAAAAAAGACAAATTAAAACAATGAGGTACTGTTTCTTGATAATGAACTTAACAAAGATAATCCAACTGTTAATAGTCAAAGCTCGTAAGGAAACCAACCATGGGAAACACTTTGAGAATCATTTGTCTATATAAGAACCCTTTCAAAGTTTTTTGCTTTTTTACCCAGTAATGCTACTTTTAATGACCTATCTTGAGAATAAACCCAGATACAGAAAATGATGTATACTCAAAGATGTACATCAAAACATTACTTATAATAAAAAAATATCAAAAAAAAATCTAAATGTCCACTATAAAGTATCACTACCTTAATGGAAAATAAGAAGTTTTCAATTTTCCATTTCTTTCCTTTTTCCTTATCTTTCCCCAGGCCTGCGTGCTGGCCAGCCTGAGGAGCAAGAAGAGCCATCGCATTATCCTGCACGCTTTCCATATTTACTCCTGTTTTCTTCTCCTGCCAGGATACTTTGTGTTGCAGCCTAAACCACACCATAAGCCCTGGACTTGGAATGCATACGTCTGCCTTCATCTAGGTCGCATCTCTTTGCATAAACTATTCGAGATCTCCCACGTTTCTACTTTGTATTCCAGGGTAACATTACTGGCATGGTCTAAACGCAACCCAGTAAAGCTGGAAAGACCAAAGCAAAACTTTCTATAATAAATCCCACACGATACAGAAATGGAAAATGGAAAAAATAAAGCCAACACAACCACTACCAATAAGAAAGAGCTTTTATACTGTCTTATATAAATGCTCTTATTTCATTAATTATTATATCATTGACACAAGATAAAACTGATGATTGGGATATTATCATAAGATAAATTTGATAAGATAAGGTAAAGTTATATTTGTGACTCTTTGTTATACATTCCAACACATTTTATCTTCCTGTGGAGCAGCTTTCCTCCATGGTAACCGACAGTCTTCCTAAACTTTGTTCCTGAATTTCTCACATAAATAGTAGATCCCTTTCTCTAGCCCACACTTCAAACCCAGGAACGCATCGGTTTACATCACTGTCTTCCTTCCTTTTGTGCATCTCTGGGTCGAGATACCTCGAATCTCTTTTGCTACAAATAACGGTCTTGCTTGGCTACAATCTCAGCCAGGATCGCCTAACAATGAAGCTTCTTGGGTTTGCTTCCCCACCCTAAACAGTTAAACATCTAAACAGATCAATCTTATGACAGATGTACAAATGTCCTCTGCATGGCCAACAAGCCCAATTTGACAACATACCTTTGAAGCCACGCTTCACCAGCCCCATGTGGTGCACAGCTGCATTTCCTGGCAGGACGTGGAGGAGCATCGTAATCTCCCCTCAGAGTCTGAGCCATCCAGCTGAGGCTGTGCTCCCTTGTGAGCTATTAGGATTCCTTGCTCATTTTCAGAGACCTTCTCTTAGCCACATGCGTTGTTAGAATAATTTCATTAGTACAAGTACAATCTTCTTCCAAAAGACTCACAAGTCTTATTTTAACAATTGAGCAATAACAGTGATGAGAAACACTACTTTTTAAGCCATATCTATTAACTTATTCTGATGAGCTCAAAACTTTAATTTTTGAAAGGGGATATTATCCTTCTCAATTAAAACTTATTATAACAAAAAAAAACTAGTCATGTAATCTGTCTCCTGCCTTTCCAAGAGTTATGCCATGTCCCTGGAATAAAGTCAGTTATCACCTCATCTGCACCATGCCACCTACTGTGAATCAGAGCTCCTAAATTAAATCATGTAAGCTCCATGTCATCTTGCCAGCCGTGAAACAGAGAAACTAAAGCCTACTTTGCTGGATTTTCATGAAAACTGCCTTAAATGAGGTTGTAAATTTAGAGAGCATGGAAGGGCACCCAGCACTCAGTAAGTGTGCAGTACACGAGTTTGCTCTCCCCAGCACTTCCTCTCAGTCCAGCACCCACAACCAGCCATGACTCAGCACAATCAGCCATGACCCAGCACAACCAACCATGACCCAGTATAACCAACCATGACCCAGCACAACCAGCCATGACTCAGCACAACCAGCCATGACCCAGCACAAACAACCATGACCCAGTACAACCAGCCATGACTCAGCACAATCAGCCATGACCCAGCACAACCAGCCATGACCCAGCACAACCAGCCACCATGAAGCGGCTGGGGTTGACCATACAACCAGGAAATAAAGAGCTTGAAGGATAATAGCCTGTCTGAGCAAGCATGTATTCAGATCCAGAGAAGTCACCTAAAATTCATGAGATGAAGAAAAATCATAAGAAAGTAGAGAAAGGGATGGAGGAGGGAGGGCAGCCATTTCAGGAGAAGTATTAAATCTGCTAGATTCAGAGGAATAAGACTCCACGTACCTATCCCACTTATCTGTGAAGCGTAACTTTTACTCATGGTAGGATATCTATGGTATTACTTGTTTTGTCTCCTTTTGTGGAGAAAAGGGAACATTTACAAGGTGTCTCCCATAAGCCCATCACTTTGCACGTGTTTATCCTCCTGACCCTCCCAGCAGGTAAGTATCATCATCCAGAGACGCAGAAACCTAATCAATGTTGAAGTCAACAATCTGGACCTCCTCTGTTGGTACAGGAGGGACCCAAATCTGTGGGCTCTGATCGCCTGTTCTCCCTGCCTATGCAAAGCCATCCTCTATGCCAAAACATGCATTTTACATGTTAAGACGCCTGCACTGGAACTCAGAAGGGTCTTTTTCTACAAATAAAAATTTCAAATTATTGTTTTGATGTGCCGTTTAATAGATTTTTTTTTTTAAACAAAGGCTTGAGTTGGGTATTTTGTTCTATGGACACAATTTCAAGCAACATTAGCTGTAAGGTGCACTAGTGGTTTAATAAAACAGAGAAGACTCTACCTTACAAAGGAGAAATAAGGATTCCGAAGTTCACTCTGATTTCCAAAATGTTAGTGAAGGGATAACATGTATCTTCAAATCAAACAAATATTGTGCCAAAAAACAATGACTTCTGAACATATCTTGAAGATATGTTTATTGAAGAAATATTGCTATTTCACAGACTTCTTTCTGATACCCATGATCAGAAAAAATGCCTACTGTAAAACTTTTGGAACAACAAGAATTTTTGTTAGGAATTTTTATATACAAAGATAACGGCATTGGATTACTTTACCATCATTTCTAAAATTTAATAGCATTTTACAAAAATAAAGGGTGGTAGAACGTATCAATGTTTGAAAATGTTTATTCCTGTTCTAGGTGGCTTCTTGGTTTCCTGAGATGACGAACCACAATACAGACTTCTCACACTGTGTCTTCTTTAACGATCCCTCATCAAGAATCAATGTTCATGAGAAGTACTACTCGCTCCTTTTTCCTCCCTTTCTTTCTCATAAGTATATTCAGACCATATTTTCTTTTAATCATAAAAATAATCTCAATGGCAATAGACACCTACAGAACGTTTTTTAATTGAAACTTTTCAAGTATTCAAAGAAGTTCTTCAGTTCAATTTTGCTAAAAGATATTTTGATGCCAACAATGAATTTTCAATATTCCACCTCTAAATCACTACGCCCAGTGCCCTGCCACACACCTTACTGGTCCTTGACGTTGCTCTTATATTCTGACTCCCTTTCATTTGTGACCATTTGTCAGTCTCACAGAAGTGTGTTATTCAAAGGATTCAAAAAGGAATCCAATAATTTCAAAAAATACACTAAAAAGATTCAGAATAGGTAATGGTAATACATATTATTAATTAGGAAAAGCAGGTACACGACAGTATATGTCGCATCACCTTATTTTTGGGATAAGTAAAACATAATCATATGTACATCTCAATATTGTTTATAACAAGGAAGAAAATTTTAAAGCTGAATACCCATCAAGAGTAGACCAAAAAGCTAAATTAGGGTCAACTATGGAAGAGGGTGTCATGAAGACTTCAAGTGACACTGATGGAAGCTAGTCAATGACATGACAAGCTTTGCTCATTCATTTTTTCAACATTTAATACAAATGGAAAGTAAACTATGTACCAGACACCATACCATGCCCCAGATTGCAACAATCCACCGTTAGTGAAAAAGAGCAGGTCAACAAAACAGCATCCACTGAGCACACACCCACATATCAGCCTAAAACACACAATCACACAATAATGTTAGTCTCTGTATCAAAGCTTCAAACTTAAATGGAAAAAATGAAATCGATATTCCCGAATACTAAAGTTTCATTGATATTTCAGAGTTTTGACATTTTTTACAAAGCATCGCCCTCTGCATGTTAATACAAGACCACTCACTTTTCTGTATCACTGATTTGCAGCTGACGTCATTTTTTTTCATCTTTTCTCCTAATTAAGAAAGTTTCTTTAAATTTTGTGGTCCTCTTTCTCCATCCAAATTCTTTTCACGAGAATCTTCAAAATCCTTTTCTTACTCGCTCTCTCCCTTTCTTCCTTCAATCTGAACCACAGTGTCCGTATCCGTGCTACATATTCCCATCTTTGTCCGTGGGTATTTCTACATTTTTCAATATTTGAGGGAGCACAGACTTGCCTCAGCACTGAAGGACAAATACTTCCATTGTCAAAGAAAACACGCCAAATTTCTCCTTCTCCCCAATAAAGGTCTATTTCCTAAGTTCATCTCCCTACGTAGACAATGAAAACTGGTATTTAATCTTAAATATCATAAAATTCCACCAAAATAAATTCTGACAGATACAAGAACTATGATGTGAGATCTGCAGGGACCAGATGTGCTTACACAGCAAGGCCGTACCTGTGGGGCGGACGGGTTGAAGGCCACTGCCGTGACTGTGTCCGTGTGTCCTGCCAGCCTGTGAGAAAAGGTGCTGGAGCCCATTTCATACACGTACACCTGAAAGACAGAACAGCCGGGTGTCCTATGTCGAAAGAGTCAATAATCAACCATCAGTTATGCAAAGCAGAAGGATATTCGAATGGCTAATCAACCATCATGGCAGCAATGAAATAAGGGACAAAACGCCATCTGCATCACGGAAGGAAATTTATGAAATATGCATTTCTTATCTTTTATTAGAATTTTTATCATCTTAATGAATTGTTGTCACACTTTCTAGCCTATCAGAAGCCTCCACAACACCTTGTGAACAGTTTTAAATATACGCTCATTTTGATGTCTAACGTTAAGGAAGGAGTACAGATTTTGTATTCCAACCTTAACTGGAAGTCCCAAATTGAGTGAAAAAGTGATATTTTATTGTCCTTTCCCATACTCTTGAGAAAGAACAGTCTATACTTTGCTTCCTACCAATCAGCTTGGAATTTGAGGAATTCAAATATCTAGAATTTTTTCCATAGCTGTTAATAACATTAACATATATAATGTTATTTTATATAAAAGTATATATAGTTTTATAAAAAGTATATAAAAAGATATCTGTATCTATCTCTATATATTTATCTAGAGTTGCCATCAAATACTTCATTTTAGGGACAAGACCTGGAATCAGGGTACCATCCAGATGTGACATAAGAGAAGGGAGAACCATTCTAATTATTAAGTATCAAAATGTGCAAACAAGTATTTTCTGCCACTCTACTGGTAATAAAGAGAAATGCCACGTTATAGCAGGAACAAGACCTCAAAGGTGATTCTTTTTCCCACACACAAAAAATATATTTTCATGTACAAATGAGTCCTTCAAATTTACACCTTCCAAATGACTCTGTCGTTGGCTAAACGGTGGTTTTGAAATAAAGTCTACAAATAGATGTTTTACATATTTTGAAGTAAAACGGAGAAATAGAAAGTCTGCCTTTTCTTCTTCTGGCCCAAACGTGTTTATCTGAAAAGCACACATTAACTTAACTCTAAAATGTCTCATGCAGCGACTGGCACAAGGTCTGAAGACTTGAGAATGAATTTAAAAGGTTCCCAGAGGAGACTGATGCTGCTGGCCCAGGGGACCCCACTTTGAGAACCACAGGCCAGACAGCACATCGCTGTCTACACAACATTTCACAACTGTCACAGAAATCACTTACAGCAACTGGTCAAGGTATGTGCACTTGAAATTCTTAGCATACCCATATTTTTACTGAGGAAACCATGACATATAGAGAATGTTTCTAGCACAGCCATCAAGTGTCGATACTGAGACTCTCAACTGATTTTCTGACTTAAACTCTTGCTTTGTATCTTGCTGGCTGCCAAGGACAACCTTTCCTGAAGGATTCAGGACACCTTCAAAGTCCCTCTGGTCTCACAGGTGTTTTAGAACTGTCTTGGCCACATCACTATCTTCTCTTCAGGACGGACTGACTGAGTGGTGCTATAATGAATTTTGGAGGGTTTCTCAGGATTCGAGGCTCCCCTCTTGTCTGCTGTTTAGATTAAGTGGATAAGGGAAATTATTATGACCACGACTGTTTTGCATCTATTATATACAATACAGAAGTTAATAATAATAGCAAACACCTACGGGACACTAAGCTTTATATTGATTTCCTCATGTAATCCTCTCTACAGCCCTATGAAGAAGACACTAGCACTGTCCCAAATCTACAGACAAGGAAACCAGGGCGTGGGGTCAGCAGTCTTCCCAGGTCACACAGCTACGGGAGTCGGAAGCCAGGCTGGGATCCACAGCTGCCTTATGTCAGAGTCTGAATTCACCACTACACTGTGCTAGCCTTTGCCTCGATCAGCATGTTTCCCATCATTTATCAGCTCTATTTCATCATTTGTCACTTTTGTGTGCACACGTGTGTGCGCCAAACATTTGGTGCTAATTTGTTCAAATGGTCCGGCCGCTTTGGACACCTGTTCGGCAGCTTCCAGTAAAGTTAAACGCACACGCATCTTCAGGTCGGAAGGCTCCCTCCTCTGCATTGACCCGGGAGAAATGGAAACAGATGTCCACACAAAGACTCGTACAAAACTATTCGCAACAACTTTATTCAAAAAAGTTAAACATACAACTACTTTATCACCTATGTAATAATCATAATTTTTGGAGGAATATATTGCAAATTATTACACACACACACACACACACACACACCACCACCACCACATCCCTCTAGATCCCAAGCTACTGAGAGAAAGGAGAAATGGATTTCTAATCACCACTGACACCTTCACAATGCAGCTCGGAGGCACTGAAAAGTATCATTATCTACTGAAAAGTGACACCACGCTCCGAGAAGCAGATGCTATGGGGACATGACTCCGAGTTTAAGGTGACAACCAGGTCTGCAGCTGTTACGTGCTCAGGAAGCAGGAACAAGGCCAGCATCTGAGATGACTTGACATCTGTTTGACTCACGCTGTAGAAGAATAGCTCAAACTGTGAAAGCGGGTTGAATCCACCCAGAACACACGAGAGGAGGAAGAAGAGTGAGAGCAGAAGCAGACAGAGGCAGAAGGAGAACCATGGGAAGGAGAATCAGTGAGAGCAAAGGATTCCCAGAAATCAGAAACGGCCAGGGAAGAGAAGCCAGAAGCTTAGGTAATTGGGCTGACACGGCAATTTTTTAGGAAGTAGCTTCAACATAACATGTGACAGAAATCCAATTACAAGGGTAAGTTACGTGCAAGGTGAAGGCTTAAGTTAATATTTTTAGACTCCAGGGAACTTACTTATAGGCTGATGGGAAATGGATTGAGAATGAAGAAGCACCAGAGAAAGTTTTCTGATGTAACAGCATCCCGGACAAGTGAGGGAGGATGGGCTGAAGGCAAGGTGCAGAGGCAGCTGCTCCCTCCTTCCTCCCAGACAGACCAAGGGGCAAAGTGCAGACAGACAGCTGTCGAGGGTGACAGGTGGAAAGAAGGTCTGAAAATCAGAGGCAGTGTTTGAAGTTCGAGGGCTTTATTTTTTCTTTTCAAATCAACTTCTATTATATGATTATCTCTTGTTGAAAAGTCCTTCCTGAGACCCGTTATGTTTTCACCTAATTCTAAGTGGGAATTAACATTGGCTTGTATTTGCATGAAATCTCAAAACACACAAAAAGGGACACCACGATACTGTGAAAGAAGTCTAGGTAAGAATTATTTAAGACACAGGCTTTTATTTTCTATATGAAAATGGTATTAAATGAAATACATGTTTTCATGCAGAAGGTTCTTGAGTCAAATGAATCTTTATGGTCATGACAAACTTTAAACACGAAAACAGCAGTCTGCAGCCCCAAATATCAGGAATATTTTATTAGACACACATTTGTCATGAGCTGTACTTGCACCCAATGGCAATGACCAACCTGAAAGGCCATGACGTACCTCATATACTATGATGGAAAATTTGGGAATAACTTTGCAAATGGTTCAATTTCATTACAATCCGTGTGGAGAACAAAATGTCTTAATTAGAGGTTAGAACAGTTGTTTAATTCATGAAGCAAATTCTCCCCATGGAAGAGAAATAAGCTGTAGCTAAAACGTACTAAGAAACTCCAAATAAAACCTGTTTAAAGTAAATCCTACTCCAAAACTAAATTAATAAGCCTGAGAAAGGGGCAAGAAAAAAGGGAGCAATATATTTTCTGCCAAAAGATGAGGATGTGGCACAAATCACACGGGTGCTGGAATAAATAATGCTTTACTGTTCAAAAATATTTTCACAAAGATTGTAAGGGACTGAATGTACTATTGAAAAAGATAAATGTTTTGCAAACAGGCCTAGACCGGTTCATTGGGACTATTTTGTAATTCTGTTGAACTGTATCCTCAAAGATGAAGTTTCTTTCATTGTTTTGTCTCACAGAGTTCTAACACGTGTCCATCATTTCCCTGCACCCAAATTATCCCCACAGAAGAAACGGGAAAAAGAACTGCAAACAGAATTCTGTATTTCTGAAACTTCATAATAGTAGCGAAATTGTCCACGGGGGATCAACCATCATATATGGTCACTTATTTTTTAAAATATTTGCAGAAATCACATTTCTCATAACTGTGTACATTTCTTCAGATCATTGAAGCTTTAGTTCACAAAAAAATAAACTTTTCGCAAAAGACCAAAATGTTCAAGATTTAATACAGACCCTTACACCAAGAAACACCTACTTCCCATAGGAAGCAAAGACGTCCTTAGAAAGTCCCTAATTTTGCCATGCCAAGTCATTTGGCCACCACCTAATGGACAACTGGATGTTAATGGTGTTGCTCTGGGTCCCCTCAGGTTTGGAGGCAGACACACACTGTTCCTCTGGTCAACCTCCATCAAGGTCTGAGACAGGAACTCTGGCAAACTCCAGGGTACACTCTGCCCTTCTTGCTGCCACTTCCTCTCGCAAAGACAGAGCCCAGTGGATCACTGTATGGCAATGACCGCTGGGTGAACCACTAGTCTCATATACCTAGGGCAGCAGCAGCTTGAATAGCCCTGAAATAAATCCTTGTCAACTTTATTTCTAATAACAACCTGATCTTTTTCAGCTTCTTTGGACCTACAGTCCATTATATAACTAGTCATCTTGAAGTATCCACTAGTTCATTCATTCATCTTGATTTCTTTGAAAATATGGTCACACAGTACAGATCAGGGCAGAGGGATCTGGCAAGAGCAGCTTATACCAACCCATACCTTTAGCATTATCCTGATAAAGTCATTACAATGTGACAATAGCTTTCTATATAGTAAGGTTCAACCACATGTATTAAATGCAGCTACAAACATGTTATTTCATTTTACCCCTCCAGTAGACATCACAGCGCACTGGTACAGAGGAAAACACTAAAGGTCAGAGAACAGTGGTTCCCACATTCACAGAGCAGAACCAGGATGCAAACACAGCCTTTCTCTAACCTGACAATGCTCTCCGTCAGCACACAGGCACTGTCCTCCAGGAGGCCTGCAGCCAAGGGGAGGGGCTCGCGCACCGGTG